GTGTATCTTTCTGCCCTGAGAGACAGAAGTTTTTAGTAAGTACTCATGTACTCCTAGTGTTTCATAGCTCTGGATTATCATCAAGGATTAGTTAGACAAGTTCTCTTCTCTCTCAGTACTTCCTTGAGATAGACGAATATTGCAGACAGATGTAAACAGCCAGGTGTATATCAGATATTCGGACTGAACTGTACTACTAAGGTACATGGCTTAATTAATCCTCAACAGAAATGATGGTTTTTTGGGAAATCTTTGGTTAAGGCAGCAGAACTTCCATCCTGCTCATCCCTTCTCTCAGGCAGGCCCCTCCTCTTCTCATGTGGCTGAATACAAACCATTTCTCAAGGCTAAGTTCAAATCCTATGCCTTTTATGACCTTCCTGGACCCCCAGCCCTCTCTGGGATCCCACCCTCCTCTGAACCCCAGAGTATTTGCTCATCAAACCAAGTGGCTGCTAGTTTTTGTGCTAATTAAAAGAAGGTGCCTTCCCAGGGCAGAGGAATTAGAATTTTGTTTTGAGGTTTCCACAGCAATTTATTGTTCACTATTTTTACAACTTTTTCATGAAGATAATTCACATATTTGAAACACTCTCAAACATTTATAAGGCATTATCACTGACATTTTGCTAGCAAAGTTATGAGCATCTACATCACTGAAATTCTCTCTTCTTACCTTTCAAAAAAAATAACATTGATGAACTAGTGGAAGCAATTTCCCTTCTTTGTGAAGCTTATGAGAAGGTGCCTTCTCAGGGCAGAGGAATTAGAGCAAGTTTCCCCCTGCAGGCAGCATAGCCCCTTGGACAACGGGCTTCTCTCTCAGAAGCTCCTTCAAGCAAAGAAAAATAAGGCTGCTCTTGTAATCACAGAGCCAGAATCTTGTCTCGGGAGTGGTGTGGGGCCCACATAATGCAAACCCCCTCCACTTGCTGGTGACTGATCTGAGCACACGTTGCTTATTTCATTAGTCTGCTTCCTATCCCACTGATGGACACTAGCTATACATGGGGTGACTTCCAAATGTCTGCTTGTTTGTCTGCCAACCATGAGTAACATTGGCTTCATCGGGAACTCGGCTTCAGAGTCTCCAAGAATGTTATCTGTGGTATGCATAGCCCGATGGTAAATAATAAACTTCTGTTTAATTCATGGAGTATTTAGTATCTGTTGACAAGAGTAGGAAAGTGCATTTCAGTTCCAAGGTGGGACTTCCAAGACATTGTCCTACCCTCCAGGAAGCTCTTTTTCTAGAAGACATTACTTAATAATAATAATAATAATAATAATAATAATAATAATAATAAAAGTAGCTATTTATTTAGTACTTACACTGCACTATCAGCTTTATAAAACAAACGTCTCATGAGACACTAGGTTCCTCACTGTAAGGAAATGGAAGCTCGGAGAAGGTAAATGATAAATAAGCGGCAGCCAGTCTTCCCCCAGAGGTTGGAAAAAGTCTCGTGGGCAGCTGACCCTCCCCTTGGCCCCAGGCTACCTTCAGTCTGGAAGTTCAGCAGGTGGAATTGCTTGGAGGTGTTCATTTTCTCCTTCTGAATGTATCAATCAAGTCGCCAGCCAGGCTAGAACTGCTTTGAGAGCAAGAACAGGAGCTTCAACTTCTTTGCCTCCCCAGATACTAACTTGGTGTTTTGAAAAGAGGCAATACATACTTAGGGGTGGTTGAATTATTGATTTCTAAATAGGCAGTACTGGGTGTTGGTACGGTCAGGAGGAAACAGAGAGAGATGCCATGGGGTAGAAATCTACATGTGTAAGTGTTAGAGTCTATTCAATGCAATATTTGCTATTTGCTCCCCTCAGTGGCTATGAACACATTGCTTACTAGTGGCCACAACTTCTATTTTTAAGCACTTCGAAAGATCCTCATGGTTGCTGAGGATCAATCCATATTCCTGATTTAATCACACTCGGGTCTTCCTGAGTCTGCCCCTGGTACATAGACAATTTTTTGTTTTTGTTTTTCTTCTTTCGTGCTCTCAGGTCCCTCCCTTTCTCTTCTGTTTCTTAAAAATGTAGCCAGGGAAAAGGTGCAGTTAGAAAGCTCTTTGCCCAAGGCTTCCTGGTTTTCATGTGACTTTGAAAATTCTGTTCTTTGACGGTAGTTGTAAAACATAGGTACTGAGAATATTTGGCATTAATTAGGCAGTTTTATATTTGTGAATAAAACTGGTAGGAGAGCACAGCTTATCTGAATAAAATGACCTCCTCTTAGCTCAGCACCATAATAAAGTTAAAAAATAATAAAGAAAGAAATAGCTCAAACAGGAATAATTTAAAAGTTAAATTCTGAAGAAACTTTTCACATTTCTATTTTGCCACAGAATGGTAGCTCATAAAGATGGTCATCTTTGGTAAGGAGCTCAGTTTTGAGGATATGCACAATTTTCCGAGTTGCTTATATTTATTCAAGGCCTTATTCTGAGCAAGTGTCTGTGCTAAGCTCTGGTCAAGTTTTAATGCATCTTCGAAGACTCTGAGCCTGATCTGAGAATCTTTGCTCTGATTTAAGGTATCAAATTGGAGATACTACAAAACAAGAGGACTGGAATTGATAAAAATTAATAAGCAACTCTAGGTTTTGTACTGCTTTTACATTTATTTATTAGTTGATTTTGGCATACTTATCATTATTAATGTGGAAAAACATAAGATGTAACGGTTGACATTTCTCCAAGAAATTCCTGTGTGAATCGTGCAGCCTGATTAAACATGTTGGCTCTAAAATTATGAGCCTCTGCTTTTACCACCCACAATATTTGGGGAAAGTAGTGAGGGAAAAAGAGAAGCTTTTGAGAATCATGGAGTTGTTTGTACCATCCTGTGGTCTTCCTGGAACAGTGGCTCTGTGGAAACATAAAGTCATGGTATTTGTAGGAGGAAAGAAAATACGATGGAAACATGAATGGAATGGTTAGCTAGGTGGAGAGTCAAGGATGTGGGTTGGGTGGGTGGATAATTACTTGTCTCATTTGATTGGGCTTTTGGAAAACTTGAGAAATTCCAAGTTGTTTTTCTAGCCTGAGAGCTGACTTACTGTTTGGATCTGGACAAGTCACTGTACATTTCATAAAGAATATTTGAGAAATGGTTGAGAAACTTTCTTGATAGCCATTAGCTCCCACATTCCTCTTTGTCTTTTATAATCCTCGGGGACTTTGACAGTTCCCCAAGCAGAATCAGAGCAAAATACCCATGATCTCTATTCTAGAACACTCCAGAATTAGAAATTAGAACATTATATGTTAAATGGGTTAAATAGAGTAGTGGATTAAAAAAATAGGTGTAACTTTTCTAGATAGATGATTTTATATTAAGATATAGGCAATGTTTATGCAATATTTATTTTTCCATTCATTCAATACCAGCTAGATTTTTGTTGAGCACTATAGCAGATGGTGTGGATGTCCCATCTCTGACCTCACCTGCAGCCACAGTGAACAGCTCCTGTGCACACTGGAAACTTCCTACCTTAAGCATCCGTGTCTCTTTGCTTCTCTTCTTGCAACCAAAAGAGTTTGTTCAGCTCATGTGCAAGGCTGCTAGAAGTGCTGAAAATTAATGCTCCAGGGTCAACTTGTAAGCAATGAGGGATGAGAATCAGTGAATAAATACTCTGCTTTGCCACCCATTGGTGGGATAATTCTGAAGGATGCTTCTCAGAGGGTCCTCAGTAAGACAGAGCTCTAGCTTCCCACAGTGGCAATCAGCTCTCTGATGCACACTTTATTGGCACTCCTCCCTCCCCTGCCTTGCTTCTCCTACTTTCGTTTCTTGGGATCATCTTTCCAATAAACTGCCTAACCCAGGATTGCCTCAGGGTTTCCTTTCAAAGGAATCCAGAGGTAGACAAGCACATGTTGTGACTAAGGTGACTAAGGCACCATGTTAGAACAGAGACACTCTCAAAGATCTGGTAATGGAGACAGAGAAAGGACTAAGCAAAAATGCTTCACCAGCAGAACGTGCCTACGTACTATGAATGGTACAAAAGTAACAGCCACAGAGGAAGTCAGAGAAGGAGAGAGAGTTTCAGTGTGGGATAAACAGGACTGTAGAGGAAGCAGGATAAAGTTAGGACTTGAAGAATGAGTCAGAATTAAATTATTTTCCTACAGGTTTGGGAGTGTGGCATTGAACCTGTGGTCTGGGCCTGAGAAATAGACCTTTTGACCAGAGGGGACAGGAAAGGGAAGGGAACTAACATTTATTGAGTGTAGGCTATGAGTCACAGGCTAAAGGGGCACAGTGATTAGGAACACAGATTTTACATACACTATCGCATTTATTCCCTGAAATAACCATATGACGAAGATATCTGCTGTAGTCAACTTGCGCTGCTATAACAAAGTACTGTAGACCAGATGGCTTATAAACAACAGAAATTTATTCTCACAGTTCTAGAGGTTGAAAGCCAGAGATCAGGGTGCCAGCATGGTTGGGTTCCGGTGAGGTTCTCTTCTGGGTTGCAGACTGCTGACTACTTGTATCCTAACACAGCAGAGAGAGAGCTAGCTCTCTGGTCTCTTCTTATAAGGGCACTAATCCCATTCATGAGGACCCACCTTCGTGACCTCATTATGACCTCCTGGCCAGAGTCCCCACCTCCAAATATCATCACTCCAGGATTAGGGTTTCAACATACTTATTTTGAGGGGACACAAACATTCAGTCCATTGCAGTATCATTATCCATAGTTTATAAAACAGAAATTTGAGGCTGAGAGAGTTTAATTGGTTGGCTCAAGGTGACACAGACAGTAAACAGAAGATATAGAATCCAAATCTATATGGCACCAGTCTTGGAAGGTAGATGCCAACACAGCTGGTTGAAAAGTGAAAGATTAAATTAAACAGTGTTCCATTGGACTATAGTGCCAAAAATGATATTCACTATTTACCCTGTCCCCCATTTTCTGGCTTATTATTTGACCAAATCAAACTTGATAGGCAATTTTAGTCATGATTACTCAACAGATGAAAAGTCTAAGACCTGGGAGTTAACACTACCAGTTCCAGGACACTACGTTATTTTTTAGATGGAGAGACAGTTAATTCCCATCTCAATAGACAGTACAAAAGGCATTAAGGCTTTGATTTTTATTTAGTTTCAGTTAGAATAAATGGCTTGCATCTAGTCAGTTAATGTAGATATTTAAAAATATTCTTCACTTAATACTGTAGTTTATTGGTAGACTTGATTAGGGTTGTTTATTTAACTAAACTTTGCCTCCAGATCCGATCTTAACCTAGTAATAGAAGAGAATTATGACTGTTACCTATTTGAAGAGCACTTAGCAGTAATTCTCCTGCTGGAGATATAGTTGGCTCTGTTAAAAGTGATGTAAATTGTTAAATAGGTATTAAATAGGCATGAAAGGCTAAGTTTTTCTCTTTTAATTCAGAAACTGCCAAGAAAAGAAAAAGATAAAGAGGGAAGGCAATAAGTATTAAATAAGGACGAAAGCCAGAGGCCTTCTCTCTACTGCAATTTGGAATTTTGTGCTTCTTTAGGTTTTCAAATTATTTCCATTTGCTTTTAAATGGGTTTAATCTGGATAATTATTTATCTAGAGATAATGCAATTCAAACAGTTCTACCTAATTAAAAATGAAAGAAACAACTTGAAAGAGTGGTGGAATATGATATAACACTCTTTCTCCAATCCCCAATGGCAGAAGGGAGATGAAGATGAAGAGAGAAGTAGAAGATAAAGACAAAGGAGTGATATAGGAGGTTTGCTTTAGCACCTTGGAAACACCAGTGAGAATTAAAAAAGTAATAGCTAACATCTATTACATTCTTATACAGGCTAGCCACTCTTCTCATTACTTTACTTACAGGGAAACTGAGGAACAAGATAAGTGATTTTGCCTAAAGTGGAACTGGGATGAAAGCCAGGCATTCAGGTTCAGATTGCATGCTCTAAACTTCTACACTCTCTGGCTTCAATAATAGTAATACGAGTAGTTAATAATGTTACCCCCCAAAGTGAGGTCGTCTGCCTGCCGCAAGACATGCCAAGAGTCAAGAGGCATGGTGATAGGAAAGAAAGGACTTTTTATTGCAGCTGGCTAGCAAGGGGGAAGATGGCCGACTAATGTCCAAAAGAACCATTTTCCAGAACAAAGACTACAGGCCATTTATATAGAGGGCTGGTCTCCAGGTTGGGGAGGCAGCCGGTCTTTGGATGAAGGCATCCATCTGACCTCTGAGTGGGAGCAGACATCTGGTCTTAGTTGCTGGTAATCTTTTGTTTTACTGGATATTCATCAGAGACCAGAGCAAGGCCCTATACCCTGATCTTTCAGTTGTCATTGATGGCTATCAGCATAGACTCTCTGCCTAGGGGGTGATCACATTCCTAAGGAACTCAAAAGAACAAAGTTATCAACTTATAGCAGCTGAGAGGGGCCATAAAATCTACAGAGCATGTCTGGGTTAGTTAATCAGAGGTCATTCAAAGTTACAACAGGGTTTCTTTTCTACAATATGGCTTCCCTTACATCAACCTTGTGTTGATCCGGTATCAATAACTCTTCTTATGTGCTCTCTGTGAAAGGTATTGTCTCCATTTTGCAGACAAGGATATTGAGTTTTGGAAAAATTAATTGATCAATTAGCTCAAGATCAGACAACATAGATGATGGCACATGGATTTTAGCGTAAGTCTGTTTAATTTCAATATCTGGGCTTTAAGTACTATGCTGCATAATGTTCAAGGTCAAAAGATGTTACCAAGTAGTTTTTCAGAAAGTGGTTTCACCTTTCTGTCTTTTTCTTTTGGTGAGGAAGATTAGCCCTGAGCTAACATCTGTTGCCAATCCTTCTCTACTTTTTATATGTGGGATGCCTGCCACAGCGTGGCCTGAGGAGTGGTGTGCCAGTCCATGCCTGGGATCCGAACCTGTGAACCCCGGGCCACCAAAACGAAGCATATGAACTTAACCACCACACCACTGGGCTGACTCCTCACCTTTCCGTCTTAAGAGTTGGGCTTAGGCTGCAGTTCCATGGCCTGGTTAACAGAACACCTGCAATCCCAGGGGCTGCTCCGTGTGCTCATGGGCAGGCCAGTCCAAAGGACACTCTGATGGGCATGGGCTTCTGGGAGGACTGAGTCGCCTTGTTACTACAAGTTCAAATGCCAAATAAACCTCTTGCCAGTCTTACAGCTCAGGAATGTTCCCTCATGGGCCTGAGAGCCCATGTCTTTGAAATGTAATCATCAAAGAAGATAAGGCCTTATCTCCTAGTTTCCTGGGAGAAGGTGGGCCTAATTTCAACTGTCTCCTGACTCTAAATGACAAACCCTGCCTCCAGTCATAAAGATATGATAGAATTAGTAATTTTATGTTGAAAACATGAAGGGAATGGACTGTATCCACCTAGCTATATGAGAGATTTTCTTCTGTCTTTGCAATCTCTTTAGCTAATTGCCTGTAATGAGCATCACATTCTGGTTTAATGTTTATTCAATAATAAAATTGTTTTCTTTCTCTTTTACCTTGTGCAGAGGTTTTCTAGGTTGGGAGAAGGTTTTGTTTTTAATTACATTTCCCCAACACTACCTTATGTGTCCTCTTCTGGGACATTTCAGTAAGGCAAAACTGCTTCTGGAAAGAATCTAGGGCCCTGGAGAGGGAGGAGTTGTACCAGACTCACTAGGAGAGCTCTTGGGACTGATAGATTTGATTGTTTGGGCCATTAATTAATTCAATGAATATTTATTGAACACCTACTATGTGCCTGGCCCTGTGCTAGAGTAAGGATATCAGAGAAGTGCAGTTCCCGATCACAGCCCAAAGAGGGCACAGGGATTGGAAACATACCCGTTCCCTGGGTACCTATATGACAGGAATTAGCTATGGATTCCCTGCCTAGGAACCTGGGAACTCTACAAAGAGCTACAGAACTGAAGAACCTAAGATCTCTTTTTTTTTTTTTTTTTTCGGTTTAGCTTATTTGTTTATTGCAGTAACATTGGTTTATAACATTGCAAAAATTTCAGGTGTACATCATTGTACTTCTATTTCTGCATAGATTACATCATG